GTCCTAATTCCCACAATGTTTTGTTCTTTTTTTTTTAATTTTTGAGAAAAAGTCTCACTTTGTTGCCCCCAGTAGAGTGCCTTGGTGTCACAGCTCACAGCAACCTCCAACTCTTGGGCTCAAGTGATTCGCTTGCCTCAGCCTCCCAAGTAGCTGGGACTACAGGCACCCACCACAATGCCCGGCTATTTTTGTTGTTGTTGTTGCAGTTTGGCCAGGGCTGTGTTCGAACCCGCCACCCTCAGTATATGGGGCGGGCCCTACTCAATGAGCCACAAGTACTGCCCGGCAAACTTTCTATAAGGGGCCAGAGAGTAAATGTCCTGGGCTTTGCAGGCTATACATTCTACGTTACAACTATTCAACTCTGCCAGTGCAAAAGCAGCCACGAGCATGGCTGCACTGCAATGCAATTTTATTTATAGACACTAAAATTTTGAATAACATCTAATTTTCATATATCACAAGCTACTACTCTCTTTTGAGTCTTTTCAAACATTTAAAAATATAAAAACTATTCTTAGCTCATGAGCTGTACCAAAGCAGGTGGTAGATTGAATTTGGCCTATGGACTACAATTAGCCAACTCTTGCTGTAAGCCATATTGTAGAGGTCATTTCTTCCCAGAGGCCTTCTTTCACCCCTCCTAGGCTGTCAGATGCCCTGACACTGCTGTTGCCATAGCTTGCTGTACTTCTCCCATTGGAGTTGACTACTGTGTATGGTTAACTGTTTTTCTTCTTAGTCTGTAAGCCAAGGATGTAACATCTGATTTATTCACCACTATACCCACATCAGCACACCAGCCAGCACATGATAAGCAGCATAATCACTCAACAATTCAATAAAAAATACTAGATAAACATGAATTCCTTCTGTGCCTTCTATGAATACATGATATCTAAGTTCAAGTCTACAGCATTCTTTAGGAACATTTGAGGTAATCTTCCAATTGTCTCCAGCATACAACAAATATAAGAAAGGGAGAATGAGAATAGGTTGTGTCTAGGGTTCTCCTACCCCATGGTTACTTAGTAATTGTTATTTTTGGAAAGCAAATCCTCAAATGGATTGTACTTCTCTTGCTTTGTTTTCATTAAGCTATAAAGAAAGCTTAAAGAGGGTGGTGCCTGTGGCTCAGTGGGTAGGGTGCTGGCCCCATA